GGTCTCGAACGACCTGCTCTGGGATGAACGCACTTTGGTCTTGTCGTGCTCGGTCTCGAAGGTGGATGGTGATGGGCGTGTGGTCGCTCAGTCTGGCGTACGAGATGGTGGCGGCGTCTATGTCCACCTCAATCAGCACATCCATGTCCAGCAGGAAATGGGCAGGGACACCAATAAAGACTCGATACAATGTAGCCGCCGTCGCCGTATATCTGCAATAATGTGTGGGGCAATCCGTACTGATCTCCGTGACCATGGCGAATAACCGCTCCGAGTAGCGCTGGAGTGGTCGCCCGTGCGCATCAGGGATGGACAACAAGCTTTTCCCTCATGGGATCGACGTAGCTACGTGCAGGCCTAGCCTTGATATTGAAGCCGCCCGCTGCAACAAAGGCTCTCCGAGTTTAATATGGCATATTCCAGCTTACCAATTCTCGCCAGTTTGTTTGAATATGTGCTTGACTTGTAGCGTCGATATCCAAGTTGTGAACGTTGAACAGCTGTATCGTGAAGCTATATATTGGAGATGGCGAGCAAAGATACTCGACCAGGGCAGATAATCTCATGCCGAAAGTGGACCAGTGGATTATCTTGCCCGCGTTGGTGCGCTGGTACAGCACGTGCTGTACCACCAGCCTCTTGCGAGAGAGGATTGTAGAAGACCTTGAAAGGGTAAGGGTAAGCCGAAACCACTGTCTGCAATGTGATCCATGTACCACGACACTCTTGAAATAGGACGACAGCACCTTTACGCATGTACATGCCCAACTTATTGAGTTTGACATTCCAGCTATGAGGTTTGTAGAAAAACAAACTGCGGGCATTCCAACAAATCACATATCCATTTCAATTATTGTTGCCCGTCGTCCATGTTGCCCATCTCTTGCGAAATAGGCCACGCTGATGTATCCACGCTAGTAGGAGGAGGAGGAGGAGGAGGAGGAGGAGGAGGAGGAGGAGGAGGAGAGGAGGAAGGGGAGGAGGAGGAGGAGGAGGAGGAGGAGGGGGAGGCCGCTCGCGGCGACAGCACACCCGAAAGCCGACAGAGCCCACAACGAGGCCGAAACTGACCGAAGCCGACAGGCCGCAGGCAGCTCCGAGGGGCGCGGCGACGCGGCGGCGACCGACCTCGACCCCCGATCCTCGACGCCTCGACGGCGGCCTCGACCCTCCGGCCCTCCGACCCTCGACCTCGGACCGACCCCTCGACCCCCCGACCCCTCGACCCCTCGACCTCGGCCTCCCGTCCTCCCGTCCTCGCTCCTGGACCTGCCCCTGCCAGGTGTCCTCCGCCTCCTCCGCCTCCTCCTCATCCTCCTCCTCCTACCTCCTCCTGCCTCCTCCTCCGCAGGAATCCTGCCTCCCCTCCTCCTCCTCCTCCTCCCTCCTCCTCCTCCGCCTCCCTCCTCCTCCTCCTCCTCCTCCTCCTCCTCCTCCCCATCCTCCTCCTCCTCCTCCTCCTCCTCCTCCTCCCTCCTCCTCCCCTCCGCCTCATCCTTCAGCCTCCTCCTCCTCCATCCCCTCCTCCCCTCCTCCTCCTCCTCCTCTCCTGCATCCTCCTCCTCCTCCTCCCCACCAGCCTCGACCCCCCGAGCCCCCCCTCCCCCCCCAATCAGAAGCCAATCGAACCAAACCGACCGAGCGCAGCCGACGGCGACGCGGCCGAGCTGACCGAACCGCGGACACTCTTGCTTTGCCTCGGGCAGCGAGTCGCAGCGGGGTCCCGATCCAGATCTTGGGGGACCCGAAAGGCTGGCGCCGCCAAATGCGATGCAAGGCGGCCTCATGAGAGCCCCTCGGGGACTAGCCGTCTGGGCGTCGCCACACAGAGTGCTGCACCGGTGGCCAAACTTGCCGCATACACCTGGATACCATACTGAATATCAGCATGTGCTCCTTTGCGCCACCTGCTTTGCCCTTCGTACAAAGAACTATGATGAGGATAAGGATGAGGCCCGCCGATGAGGCAACGCTGGGTCATAGCTCAGCGGCCGAAATTCGGGCGGGTGTCCCGCCCTTGGTTGTATGCTACTTGTCTGCTGCCCGCGGCGGCAGCCGCTGCAACTGGCGGCGTCCCACAGGCGCGCCCCCGCTCATTCGTCTCACCCTCTTCTCCTTTGCAGACCTGCCTCTTCGTGGACAGGCCGATCCAAACTCAAGATTCCTCCTCCTCCTCCTCCTCCTCCTCCTCCTCCTGCTGCTCCTCCTTGGGTGCGAGGCGAAAGAGCTGCTCTCGCCTGAGCGTCGCGCGAATGCATGAATGGAGGGCGGGTCGTTTTTTAATTATCCCAGTGCGACCCTAGCTAGGAGTTGGAGCCCCTAGGAAAGCAGCATTAGTAGTAACAGTAAAGCTAATCTAAAGCTAAGCTAAAGCTAAATTAAAGCTAAGCGAAAGCTAAGCTAAAGCTAAGCTGAAGCTAAGCTGAAGCTGCTGAAGCTAAGCTAAAGCTAAGCTAAAGCTAAGCTAAAGCTAAGCTAAGGCTAAGTTAAAGCTAAGCTAAGGCTAAGCTAAAGCTAAGCTGAAGCTAAGCTGAAGCTAAACTGAAGCTAAGCGAAAGCTAAGCTGAAGCTAAGCTAAAGCTAAGCTAAAGCTAAGCTAAAGCTAAGCTAAAGCTAAGGTGAGCTAATCTAAAGCTAAGCTAAAGCTCAGTTAAAACTAAGCTAAAGCTAGGGTAAAGCTAAGCTAAAGCGAAGCTAAAGCTCAGCTAAAAGCTAAAGCTAAAAGCTAAAGCTGAGCTACAGCTAAGCTAAAGCTAAGCTAAAGCGAAGCTAAAGCTACAGCACAGCTGAAGCTAAGCTGAAGCTAAGCTGAAGCTAAGCTGAAGCTACGCTAAAGCTAAGCTAAAGCTAAGAGCTAAGAGCTAAGAGCTAAGAGCTAACGCTCAAGCTAAAGCTAAAGCTAAAGCTCCCAGGGGACTGGGGGAACCGCGGGGCGGGGACTGGGGGAACCGCCCGGGGCGCTTTGCACTGCCCGGCCCCTTTAAGCTAAGAGAGTAAGAACCCTTCTAGGCAGAGCCTAGGTAGGGAAATTGAGCTCTCGCCTTAGCACCTTGCATATTCGTCTGTAAACGTTTCCGCGAGTATAAGGATGGGGGGTGGAGGGTTTGCGTCACGGAGCGTTCGCCCCAGCGCGAAACGCATTCGTCTGAGAAGTTTGGAAGGATGCAATGGCGGATCGTTTTCAAAATAAAGCTATCGCCGGAGCGCCGTGCACATTCGCCTCAAGAGCTTGCAGCAGCTGCAAGGATGGAGGGCGGGTGGTTTTCACCAACTCTCGCCTTGGCACCATGCACATGTCTCGTACAAACTTATAACGCTTACCGGGACGGAGGGCTGTTTTATCAAAATGCTGCTCTCGCCATGACTCCGCGCACATTCGTCGTAACAGCTTGCAGCCATAATACGTTTCAGGAAGGCAGGGCTGAGGAGGTTCCCCCTATATTCAACGACGCCAATAATAAAACAATCCCCAACAGCTACACACACGGATGGGGGTCAAATCCTTTCCAAAGCGAGGCTCGCACTGGTCCCCTCGTCGAAATTTATTGTATAACCCTGCCGCGCTCCAGATAACTCGCTAGAAATATGCGAGGCAAGTCCTTTTGAAAACGGAACTCTCGCCGGCAAGGCAGGGCCATACGGTCTTCGTCTTTCAGGGGGCGGGGGCTCTCTTGCAATGCCAGGGCTCCTGATGAGGGAAATTGAGACGGGATGGTGCATTGCAGTATCGTGTGCACATATTGGAATTGCTCTGGTCCTCCCCACCACCATCATCATCATCATCATCATCATCATCATCATCATCATCATCATCATCATCAGCATCATCGCCATCGCCATCACCATCACCATCACCATGACCACCACCACAACCATCATCATCAGCAGCAGCAACAACATCATCCTCATCCTCATCCTCATCCTCATCAGCATCATTATCATCCTCAACCTCATCCTCACACTCTTCCTCCTCCTCCCCCTCCTCCTCACCATCATCACCATCTTCATCATCATCATCATCATCATCATCATCACCATCATCATCATCGTCATCATCATCATCGTTATGCTTACCAGCCTCATCATACTCCTCATCAACATCATCGTCATCATCAGCAACACCATCAACATCAACATTATCCGCAACATCATCAGTATGAACATCATAAGCATCACCATCAGCATCATCATCATCAGCATCACCATCATCATCAGCATCATCAGCCTCATACTCATCATCAGCCTCATACATTTCATCAGCAGCATCATCACCATCAGCATCATCATCAGCAGATCCATTATCAGCATCATCATCATCATCATCGTCATCGTCATCGTTTTGTCATCATCGCCACACCATCATCATCACCGTCATCATTCCACTCGTCTCTCCGCTTCCTCCTTCTCCTTCTCCTCCTCCTCCTCCCCCTCCTCCTCCTTCTCCTTCTCCTCCTCCTCCTCCTCTTCCTCCTCCTCCTCCTCTTCCTTCTCCCTCTTGCTTTTTCTTTCTCCTCATCTTCCTCCTTTTTCTTATTCCTCCTCCTCCTCCTCCTCCTCCTCCTTATCCTCCTCCTTCTCCTCCCCGTCCTCCTCTCCTCCTCCTCCTCCTCATCCTCCTCCTCCTCCTCTTCCCCCTTCGCCCCCCTCCCCCCCCTCCTCCCCCTCCCCCTCCCCTCCCCTCTCTTCTCTTCTCTTCTCTTCCTCTCCTCTCCTCTCCTCTCCTCTCTCCTCTCCTCTCCTCTCTCTCTCTCCCTCTCCTCTCCTCTCATCTCCTCTCTCCTCTCCTCCTCCTCCGCCTCCTCCTCCTCCTCCTCCCTCCCTCTCCTCCTCTCCTCTCCTCTCTCCTCCTCCTCCTCCTCCTCCTCCTCCTCCTCCCCCCCTTGCTCCTGCTCCATCCACCTCCACCTCCACCTCCACCTCGCCCTCCTCCCCCCCGAACCCCGCACACCGCTCCCCCGCCTCGCCCTCCTGCCTCTCCGCCGCCCCCCCCATGTGGCGACGCGCAGGCGCCGAGCCGACTCCCCGATCTCGCCCAGCAGCACGTTCCAGCCCCTCGCCAGGTCCCGCTGCGCGGGCTGCGGCGGCAGCGGCCTCCTCCTGGGCTCCCCCCGCGGGCCCCCGCGGAGCCTGCGGCGGGCACGGGGGGCCGCCGGGCAGTGCCGAGGGGCGTCTTGCCATCGCTCGGACGTCCATTTCCCGTGCATTTGTCGGTCTCGTGCGTGTTTTGCTTTGCTCGATGGTCCAGGATGGTCCCCGATGGTCCTCGCCGAGGAAAAAATGCACACGTCCGAGCGATGCCAGGGCGTGGCCGCCGAGGGGGCCGACGCCTCCTTCGGAGAGCAGGACACCCCCCTTGATCACCAGGTCGACGCTCCAGGAGATGTGTTCACCAGAATTCCCACGGCGGCGACTAAAATACCTAAAACACGATGCAGGTGGGTCCCCGAATCTGGCGACCAACGCCCCGGACCCGACGTGTTACAAAAAAACTGGCGGCGGCCGCGCGCGAAAGCCAAGGCGACAACATAAAAACGACGGCGGCGGACTCTGCGCACACTTGATGTACTTCGTGACACGAGCATGGAAAGATACTGGTGCAGACAATGTATGTAGACATGCTTAACTCGCGCGCATGCGTGTGTGCATTTTTACATCACATATGTATGACTTGAAGACCGTATAATACGAGCCTGAATCCGACGCCGCAATCCAATTCAAAATTCCCTCCGTTCTCTCATCCGAATGCGCCCGCCATCGCTTCCAAAATCAAACGAAAACCTCAACCCACGAGCACGAACCCAAAACATAACAAAACATATGTCCAGGAAATGTCTGGAAACATCTCGCTTCGCCGTCGCTTACCCCCCCAGGCCCGAAGTCCCCATGCAACCGCAACAAAAAATTACACAACAAATTTCTGCTTAAAACTCCCCCCCCCGCCCGAAACCCCCACACAAAAGGAACAACCGCGCAACAGCGACGAATTGCACAACATAATTCTGTTTCGACCCCCCCGGGCCCGAAACCCCACACGAAGGGAGCAAGCGCGCAACCGTGACGATGCCTCACGACCCAGGCGCGGTACCGGGGTGGGCTGAAGGCAATCATACAAACAACCGATGCAAACTCGCGGCGGCGGCGGCGGTCCCGAACAGTAGGTGAACTTTGCATCAGACGGCTGGGAGGCGTAGAGGCTTAGTAGACCTGGTGATCCCCCTTGGACTCCACAAAGCCCCAAAGGATTTCCTTCCCAAGGGTGCCCCAAAGCGTCCAAGACCTCCTCGATCCACTCATATTATCTTCCTCCCCCTCTCCCTCCCACTCCTCTTCCTCGTCTCTTCCTCGTCCTCGTCCTCGTCGTCGTCCTCGTCCTCCTCGCCCCCCTCTCTTCTAAGAAGGAGAACCACCACAATGGGAAGGGATGGGTGGAAGGGGTCAGAGGTCAAATATGCCGTGAGCGCGCCTAAAATGCCTCCACACAACGACCCGTTATGAATACTGCTCTCCGAAAGCACCTGGCTCCGTCCGGAAGATGCTCGGCCCTCTCCGCATACTGTTTCTTACGCACAGGACTTCACACATATGTGTTTGAACTTGCGTTTGACAGTCTAAAATGGTGCTCCCGCTATAGCACGGGCCTCATTTTTGGATTGGCGCTGTGCTCTCGTCTTTCAAAATTGCGCTCTCGCCCCAACGCGCGCCACGTCTCTAGATCCGACTCCTTTCTCATCGTTGTCGCCCCCCGCATTTCCCCTTCTCCGCCTTCGCCCGGTCCTCCTGCTCCTCCCGCTGCGTCCACTCTGGCTCCTGCTGCTGTTCGTCTTTGTCCTCCTCCTTCCTCATCCACCTTTTCCTCCGAGGTCCGCTATGACACACGTCGGCGGATGCAGAGACAAACCACGCAATTTGAAAGGATGGGTGTGAGGGGTAGGATGTCAGACATGACGCGATCGCACCTAGCTTGCCTTTCTCGTCTCTCTGCTCTCGACAACTATTATATACTAATCTCCTCCCTCCCAAACTGTTCAATAACCTTGAAACTCGTCCACATTCCTCTAACACACCGTACCCCCCTCCTTCGTGTTTTGTTTTGATACTCCTGACCCGCCCTGGGGGGGCGCCTTGAATAATACCCCCCTGCACAAAATGCGAACGCATCCTTTGATGAGGGCGATGTAAATGAGCGGCGATGGCGACGCTATAAGAATCCTTGCGGGTGCGATGATAGTAATACGGTGACTGTTGATGAATGATAAGTCGTGGAGCCCTGTTGTTTGTTATCAGCGCCGTCCTCATTGCCGCCGCCGTCATAATCATCATCATCATGATCATCATCATGATCATCATCATCATCATCATCATCATCATCATCATCATTATCATCATCATCATCAGCATCATCATCAGCATCATCATCAGCATCATCATCATCACCGCCATCATCGTCATCATCATCAGCAGCAGCATCAGCATCAGCATCAGCATCAGCATCATCAACATGATCATGATCATCATCATCATCATCATTATCAGCATCATCAGCAGCATCATCGTATCCATCATTATCATCATCGTCATCATCATCACCATCATCGTCGTCATCATCACCACCACAACCGCCACCACCATCATCATCATCGTCGTCGTCGTCAGCAGCAGCAGTAGCAGCAGCAGCGTCATCACCACCTTCGGGATCATCATCGCCTCCACCGTCGCTTTCGCCTCGAACGGTACCGAACAACGTAACGATGGCGCTTGTGGTGCTAACACAACAAGTAGCAAGGGCTGGAGGACTGGACGCAATGGAGAGTTATGGTCATGAGCTACCGTTCATGTCGGAGACGGCGATGCCGGTGATGATGATGCCGATGAGGATATTCAGCAGGGTGAAACACAAAGACAGCACGGAAGTGGACGCGAATCTGTGTATGAGAACGGGTGCAACAAAGCGACATAATGGACCAGAACCCACCCAACTCCGCATGTTAGAAACCGGGCTGATACCCCAGACTTCCCTGCTCTCCCAAACTCAGTGAAAACACTGGGCCTGGGGGGACGGGTAACAACGGATATGGAGTACGTCCCGAAAGTGTCCCACCACCTCGATGCATGTCTTACTTCTGAGGACTCAAAGAACAGTGCTGCTTGCTCACCGTATCTCTCGAAGCAGAGCCTCTTCGGGGGGTCAAAATGGCAGCGTGACTCTCGTTTTCGGATTGGCCATGTGCTCCCGTCGCTCAGAGCGGCGCTCTCGCCCCAGCGCGAACCACATTTCAGGATCCGGGTGCTTCCTCGTCGGCGTCGCCCCCTTCCTTTCGCCTCCCCCGCCTTTTGTGGGTCAATCTGCTCCTCCCGCTCCTTCCGCTCCAGCTCCAGCTGCTGCTGTTCGTCCGCGACCCCACCCTTCCTCATCCTCCTCCTTCTCCTCCTGCTCGTCCTCCTGCTCATCCGCCACCTCCTCCACATGTACGCAGCTCCATATTTCAGACTGCGCGCAATTCGAGGGGGGTCCTTTGTTCCAGATCCACTATGAAACCAGCTGGTGGAGAAAAACATCAGCGCAACGAGAAGGGATGGGCAGGAAAGTTAGGACGTCCGATCTGGCGCGAGCGCCCTTAGCTTGCCTCTCGCCCCCCCTTCTCCTCCTCCTCCTCCTCCTCCTCCTCCTCCTCCTTCTCCTCCTCCTCCAACTCCTCCTGCCCCTCCCCCTCCTCCTGCCCCTCCTCCTCCTTCTCCTCCTCCTCCTCTTCCTCCTCCTCACCCTCCACCTCACCCTCCTCCTGTTCCTCCTCCTCGCCCTCCTCGTCCTCTTCCTCCTCCTCCACCCCCTCCCCCTCCTCCTCCTCCTCCTCCTCCTCCTCCTCCTCCTCCTCCTCCCTCCCCCTCCCTCCCCCCTCCCCAGCCTCTCCCCTCCTCCTCCCCCTCATCCTCCTCCTCCTCCACCTCCTCCTCCTCCTCCTCCTCCTCCTTCTCCTCCTCCGCCTCCACCTCCCTCCCTTGTCCTCCCTCGACTCCGAGGGTCGAGGCCGACGCCGAGGACGCTGGCGACGACGCCGAGGGAGGAAGGACGCTTCTGCGCCGACTCCGAGGCCGCCGCCAGCGGCCTCGGCGGCGGCAACCTGCGCGGCGGCCAGATCGGCGACCCCAGAGCTCCGATGCCTTGTTTCCCTTGAGCGCGGGCTCCCCTGGAGCTCTGGACCACCTCCCTGGGGGTCGGCCCCTCGTCCCGCTCCGCTTCCTGGCGGCCCCAGGGCCCCGCGAGGGCCCCCCGGACGCCGAAAACCACGACCAAGCTCCGCCTCATGTGCGTTGGCTTCGTTGGCACATTGGAGGTCTGGGAGCACTGCGGCGATCGTATGCGATCGTAGGTGGCGACATCCGAACCCTGCCCCCGCCAACCATCGATGCTCCTGAGCCGACGGGGGGCAGGGGCAGGGTTCGGATTTCGCCACCTGCTCGACGAACTCCGAGCCCTGCCCCCGCCGCCCATCGAGTTGCCCGAACCGTTAATCGGCGAGAGCAGGGTTCGGACTTCGCCACACGAGGTCTGAGGCGGCTGCGGCGATCGGCGACCCGCGGGGGGGGCGCGCCTCGGCCCCCTCGCCGCGGCGCCAGGCGGCCCAGCCGTGCGGCGCCCGCCAGCGGGGGCGCCGCGCCGAGGCGACCAGGCGACGTCGCCGCCTGGGTGGGGGGGGACGTCGCCGACGGCGACGGCATGGGCGTCTGCGTCGGCGTCGGCGCCGACGTCGTCTGCGTCTGCTGAGCAAGGACCGACCGCCCCGGCATTCATAGAGGCATACCACGACATTTTCTCAGAACGGACAAAACGGTTAGCCATCGTGGACCCCAAACAGTGTGCTCTAGCACGATATGTTTTGCCATACGTGTGAAGCATTTCATGTGGTGCATCAACGTGATGCAAACTGCGACGTACCATGTTATGCTGTGTTACATATATATATATATATATATGATGCAACCTGCGTGATGCAATCTAGGTCGTGCGAACTGTATGGCGCACTATACGTGGATCCATGCTTGTGGTGCAGTCGGTGTGGTGTAACGCATGTCATTCTATGTGGTGCACTCCAGGTGGTGCAGCATCTGCGATGCAATGTGTGGTGCAACCTGTTTGGTGAAATGTATGCTGTGCGGTCCGTGTAGTGCGATATGGGTAATTGAATTTACGCGGTGCAGTATATGATGTGCAACATACACATGTGGTGCGATATAGGCGGTGCAATCTACGCGGTGCAATCCACTCTGCTGAACTTGAAATCGTCATCTCCACTGCTCGCACAAACATCCCACCCACCCACCCGCAACTTGGTTTGCAAAACCTCTTAAGGCCGACTACGACGACACCGACGACAACGACTACGACGACACCGACGACGTCTCCGACGACTTCGACGACGACAACGACGCCGACGCCGACGACGACGAAGACGACGACGACGCCAACAAAGGCGACGACGAGGGAGGAGGAAGGACGACGACGGCGACAACGGCGACAACGACGACAACGACGACAACGACGAGGAGGGAGGACGGCGACGACGCGAACGACGAAGGAGGAAGGACGGCGACGCCGACGACGACAACGACGAGGGAGGAGGAGAGACGACGACGACGACGACAACGACGACGACGGCGACGAAATAGGAGGGACGACGACGAGACGCCGACGACGGACGACGACGACGACGAGGGAGGAGGAGGAAGGACGACCACGGCGACAACGACGACGGAAACGACCACGACGCCAAAGAGGACGATGACGACGAACACGAGGAAAGACAGAGGACGACGTAGGCGAGGACGACGACGACGACGCGGGAGGAGGGAGGACGGTGACGACGACGACGATGACGACGACGACGCAAGAGCGCGCGCGCACGCTTTTGTTGAACATCCGTGTTGCGAAACCTTGGGTTGTTGTACGTTTTTTGGACACACGATTTTGAAATCCTTCCGAAACCGATGGGTTTGGAAGGATGTCGGCATACGCGCGCGACGATGCGCGCGTCTGCACTTCGTCCCGTTTTTTTGCAGAGGATTCTTGCGACGGCACACTCGCAAGGGCGTTCGACAGATTTCAACATGCGCGCGCGCGAAACCCGTTGAATAGCATTTTGTGAAAATCTTGAAAAACCTATGGTTTTCTCAAGATTTCGCAACAGCTCGCGCGGAAGCTTTTTTAGCAAATCAGTGTTGCGAAACCCTGTGTTTTTGTATGTTTTTTCGAGACTCGATTGCGAAATCCCTCCTGCACCGAATGTTTTTGAAGGATTTCGGCATGCGCGCGCGACGACGCGCGCGCGTGCACTTCGTCCCATTTGTTGCAAGGGACTCGTGAAAAAGTGCTATGCTAGAACAAAAAATGCCACCGCATAGTATTTTTTACAAGGGACCCTCAGGGGGGGATACCGGCCCCCCCGGGGATAGTGTAAATATCACCAGGTCGACGCTCGAGAAAAAGTATTCACCAAAATTCCCACGGCGGCGACGGAAAAAACAAAAAACACTATGCAGGGGGGGTCCCAAATCTGGCGGCCAACGCCCTGGACCCTAAGTAAGTGTTACAAAAAATTAGCGGCGGCCGCGAGCAAAAGCCAAACCGACAATAGAAAGACGAGGGCGGCGGACTCTGCGCACACTGTATGTACTACGTGACATGAGCATGGAAAGATACCGTTGTAGATCATGTACGTAGACGAGCTTAACTCGCGCGCATGCGTGCGTACATTCTTACCACATATACTTTTGATGTGAAGATCGTCGGGCCGCGAAATACGAGCCGGAATCCGACGCCGCAACCCAATTCAAAAATACCTCCGTTCTCTTATCCGAAAGCGCCCGCAGTCGGTTCCAAAATCAAGCGAAACCTTCAACCCACGAGCGCGCACCGAAAACATACGTAACAAAACATGTCCAAGAAATGTCTGGAAATATCACGCTTCGCCGTCGTTTACCCCCCCTAGGCCCGAACTCTCCATGCCACCGCGACGAATTGCACAACATAATTCTGTTTCCCCCCCCCAGGCCCGAAACACACACAGTAACAACCGCGCAACCGCGACGAATTGCACAACATAATTCTGTTTCGAAGGGAGCAAACGCGCATCCGCGACGAGGCCTCTGGCCCACGGCCCAGGCGCGGTAGCGGGGTGGGCTGAAGGCAGTCTTGCAAACAACCGATGCAAATTCGCGGCGGCGGCGGCGGTCCCGAACACTAGGTGCACTTTGCAAGAGATGGATTCGGTGACGGCGGCCCGCCCAGAGACTGGGTGGCGTGGAGGCTTAGTAGACCAGGTGATGTGTAAATCCCACCAGCCCTCTGGGCGTAGGTGATCTAGAACAGATCCTCTTCCACCCCTCCCTCTTCCCCCTTGGGGAGGGGTTTACCCCTCCCCCTACCCCCTCCCCTGGACCTGGACGGGGGGGGCCGCGGGTAGTTAGAGCGTCCCAGATGGCCCAAGACGGCTCCAAGAGCGCCTCAGAGAACCCAAGATGAGCTCCAAGATGGCTCAAGATAGCGCAAGATCGCTCGAGATGGCTCCTAAGATGGTTCCAAGAAGCCCAAAGACGGCCCCAAGATAACTCCAAGTGGCCAAACAGCTCCCCAAGGAGGCCCCGAAGAGGCCAAAATCGTCCCAAAACCTAAGGAAAATCAATGATTTTTGCTTTCTCGCCTTTTCGCTTCCGATGGCCATCCGAGGCCTGGAGATGGTTCCAAGATGGCCCAAGAGGGCCCCAAGAGAGCCCCAAAAGAGCCCCAAGACGGCCCCAAGAGCGCCCAAGAGCACTCCAAGAGCGTTCCAAGAGGGGTCCAAGAGGCGATTTTAGGGGCTTCCGAGGGGGGGCGCTAATTAAACCCCCCCTCTTGTTTGATCGATCTCCTCCAAGATGGCCCCAAGAAGCGCCCAGGAAGCCCCAAGAGGTCCCAAGATGGCCCCAAAATGGCCCCAAGAGGCCCCCAAGAGGCCCCCCGGAGGCCCCCAAGAGACCCCCAAGAGGCCCCAAGAGCCCCCCCAGATGCACCCAAGATGCTCCAAGAGGCCTCGGCGAGAATGCCTAATCATTGATTCTACACAGGTTTTAGCCACATGGAGGCCTCTTGGGGGGGGGCACGGATTAAGATGACTCCAAGAGCGTCTGGGAGAGCCCAAAATGACCTCCAAGATGGCTCAAGATATCCCAAGATGTCTCATAATGGCTTCCTCTGTGTGCTGCCCACTTCTCTGATCGAGGCAATTCCTCTGGGCATCGTTTCTGGATGGGCTGGTGGGGATTCGCGAAGCGACAACAATTCATATTTCGGATGGACATGTGGTCAGAATCATATTTGATTTACATACCCGAAAAGGGGGACCGATAGCGCCGGGGGGGGGGGGGAAATCCTATTCTGTTTGTAGAAAGGAGAATCTATGCGAAGCTATCTACGTGGTGCGATCTATGAATTGCGATCTACGTGGTACCATCAATGCCGTACAATACGGTGCTGTCTACGCCGTGCAAATGGTTTAAACAAACGACTTGACACATCCCATGCTCTTGCAAACATCCCACCCACCCACCCGCAACTTGCTTTGCAATATTTGCGAAACTCACGCGGTGGCGGTTGCGATGCATGCTCGGCGTTGGATGGTACATCTCTGCGGCCGCGCCAACCCTAGCACGCGCGCGCAGCGGCCAGCTAGTGTGGCGCCGCCGACGCGGCCGCGGTGGCGCTGACCGCTGGGCACATCCCATCGGGCACTTCACTGCGAGTCGGCGACTTGGGCGGGCGCGGTACCATGGCAACGTCGACAACGGTAGACACGATGATGAGAATAGCGATGCTGGTGACGATGTTGACACCGACGAAGGCGCGGCCAGTGCGGGCGCCGATGCTGATCACGCCGACGACGATGACGGCGTCCTCGTGTCAGTGATGAAGGTTGTGGAAAGAGTTCGACATGCGCGCGCGGCCGACGCGCGAGTGGGGCCCGCATGGTTTTATTTGACACGGGTCGTGCCCCCTCAGCACGCGCGCACGGGCGTGCGAATGATGTCGGCATGCGGTGCCAGAGGCCTGTTTCGCAGAATTCCGTGAACATGTTGAAAAACATATTGTTTTCTTATGAACGCGCAAGAGCGCGAGCGCACGCTTTTTTGAAGACAGCTATTGCGAAACCATTTGTTTTTGTATGTGTGTGTTAGACACTCGGTTTTGACATCGCTACACAACCGAAGGTTCTTGACAGATTCTGGCATGCGCGCGCGACGACGCGCGCGCGCACTGAGCCATTTGTTGCAAAGGATTCTCGCGACGGCACGCACGCAAGGGCGTCCGAACAATTTCGACATGCGCGCGCTCGCGCGAAGCCAGTTTGGTAGCATGTTCTGAACATGTTTTAAAACCATTGTTTTTAAACAATTCGCAAGAACGTGCGCGCACGCTTTATTTTGAAAATCCGTGTTGCGAAACCATTAGCTTTCATATGATTTTGGACACTCGATTTTGAAATCATTACGAAACCGGGGGGGGTTGAAGGATTTCTGCATGCGCGTGCGATGACGCGTGCGCGTGTGCACTTCGCCCTGTTATTGTTGCCAGGGATCCTTGAAATTTGCAACTTTTGATAAGCGAGTGCGCACGCCAAGTACCTTCTGCGGAGGATGACGGGGGGGGCCGATACCGGTTGGGCTGGGATGGTATGAGTTCCTATTTCGGATGGGCGATGGGACAGAGTCAGATGCAAATTGCAATGCGGAAAGGAGTGTCGATAATCCTGGGGGGGAGGTAGAGTCTATTTTCTTTTAAGAAAGGGGAATATATGCAAGGCAGCGACGGGCGGCGACGTGCTGGCGACGGAGCGGCGACGGCGGCAGGCCACATAGCCGCCAGACCGAAGACACGGCCCAGACGACGGACGGCGACGAGGCGGCGACGGGGCGGCGACGGCGGCCACATAGCCGCCAGAACGAAGCCACGGCCCTGGTCCTCAGAGCAGGAGTGAGAACCCCGAAGTGCAAGCACTGTTTGGGGAGCGATGTTCTTAGAACGTTACGCCGATGAATTGAAACAACGCTGCTTTAGCTACACCCTGCCATCGCTCGGACGTCCATTTCCCGTGCATTTTTCGGTTTTGTGTGTGTGTGTGTT